GCAAAGTTGACCGAGGAGTTGGGGTGCTTCTTCTTGTGCTCCTCGCTGCAGGTCTGCACAAAGAAGGCGTACGAGGACATCTTGCCCTGCAGCTTGTTGGGGTCTCCTTGCCCATGGCAGCACGGCCTGTGTAGCTTTTCCTCAGGGTCCCGCACAGCAGCGGAGCGCGAGAGACACTTCCTTCCTAGGGCTCCAGCGAGAACTGGTTTGAGGGAATGGATATTAAACTTAGTTATTTTTTACTTGTTGCTGGGACAAAATACTGACATCCAAAATTAAAGAAGGTTGTGGAGGTTTTAGTCTAGAGTGGACTGGCTCCCAGGCAGAGTGGCACAGGAAAGAGGACAGCAGTTTATGGCAGTAGAAAACAGCAAAAAGCAAAGGGAGCTGGGGAGATGGCTCAGTAGAATAAGCACTTTTCTGGCAAGCACAAAGGCCTGAGTTCAATCCCTGGGCAAAGGAAAGGACAGCAGCTACGGCTTCTAGCCAGCCTCTCTCCTCCTTGTATTATAAGTAGGCTACCCTGGAGTGAGGCTGTAGAATTCACACATTGTCCATGCCCTCCTCTTGTACAAGATGAGGATATTTACAAAGTAAAAATCCTGGCTCCCTGTTGAGTCACTTAATTAGACTTCTGAATTTCTCAAGTTGACGCTACAATCTACCCCTTGTCAACATTTTAAAAACCAGTTTCCTGATACAAAGACCTGTTTGTTTTTAACATTTTACAACTTAGACATTATAACACAGCTTTGACAATCTTTAAGAGCCATAACATGTTACCTCTGCCCCCCAAAGACTCAGGCACATCTCTTTACGAAAAAGGCACTTTATCTGCAAGAGTTGCCAAAGTCATAACAGTTTTAGCATTGCTGAAAGGTCTGTTTCAAGTCTCCTTTAAGATTTAAGGCAGGGCCAGTGAGATAGCTCAGCGGGCTAAAGCGCCTGCTTTAGGCAAGTGCAGAAACCATGGTTCTATCCCTGGCATCACATGCTGTGCCAGCACTGCCCCCAGGGAGGGCTGAGCCAGCTACACACACACACACACACACACACACACACACACACACACACACACAAGCACACACAGATTTAAGGCAAACTCTTAGCTGTGAGGTTCTGTACAAATGAAAAGTTAAACACTTTTAGTATTTAAAGGCACAAGATAAACATTATCATTTTAAAAGGTATACACAGCAGGATACAAACCATTGTGACCAAAACAAGTTCAAAGTCCAGAAGGGCAAATGTCAAAGTAGTTTTATATTTAACATCTAAATCAGTCTGTAATGAGTTGTGAGCAATAAAAGCCTTAGATGGCTCCACCGTTATGGCACTTTTGTTGTTAGCTCTCATGGCTTTTTTGGGAGACTGCCTTTACTCTCTCTTTGTAGCTTTTTTTAGGCATTCTATTTTTTTGGCTTTTTTTAAACTTTTGTGGTTTTTGCTGACTAGGCTTTTTATTTTTTTGTTTTACATACTGTCCTCTCAGAGGCACACTGTCTGGCCTCCCAGGCCTTTTGAAATCTAGATGGAAGCCTTTTTAACTCTTGTATTTTGAATATGCTTAAAACCAATGTCACGTAGAGGATGTCAAGAGCTGCTGCTAGCTGGAGCTGTAGCTAGGCTTTTTGTTTTTGTTTTTGTTTTTGGTGGTAAGGATCAAGTGCTTGGATTGTTGAGCACTCTGACCCTGATTTTGAGGAACAGATTTTTAATGTTGGTGGCATTTTGGAATCTGGTATGGTTACTGCCTCTGTTTTGGAACATGAGGCTCTGTAACTTTTTTTTTTTTTAAAGCAAAGTCTCTCAACTTTGTGTGGGGGCCTGCCCCTTAGCTCAGTTGTATATGTGGCTGCTTCAACAAAGCAGTCAAGCTCAGGTTGCTGTGATTCGATCCCCACAACTCAAGCCAGCCAAACCTGCCCTGAAGGTATTCGGAGAAAAAAAAAAAAAAAAATCCATCTGAACTTTGTGATTTTGAGGCTGTAAAGGACAAGAACCTGTCACTTTTGTGATGTCCTTAGGGCATCTTTTTTATTTTATTTTTTGTTTCTTTTGGGCAATGGAGAGCTCAGCTTTATCTTTGTACTCTATAGCATCTTGGCACTTTTTTGTGGGGGGGGGATTTACAACATTTTAAATCAACCTACTGGGATCTTTGTTTTTGACTCTCAACATATATCTGACTAAAAGCCCCAACAATAGCCATATTACTATCTCAACATTTGACTTCCTTGAGTTTTTGTTGTTGTTGTTGTTGTTGTTGTTTTGGTAAGATTAACTAGTCTAACTGTGCTTAATCTGTCTCAGGCAGAGTCTCTGGATAGAAGCAAAATGTAGACAAACTTTTGCCAAGCCATAACAGAAATCATCCACAGTCTAACAACCAGTGTAGTCTTTTTCTCCCAGAAGAAACCTCTCTCGCTTGGTCTTTATAGACAGGATTTTTATCAGTGTTTTAGTCTTTTGAACTCTGATCAGCATCTCCTCTACAAAAAAACTGAAGGCTTTGTAGCTTTTTGCTAATGGGGAACATCTCTAAACCTTCTTATAAGCCATTTTTTAAAAGCTCTTGAACAACGTGACCACGTAGTTACAGCAACAACCCCACTCCTGGTACCAAATATTGTCTCAGTTATTTTTTACTCATTGCTGGCACAAGATACACCCAAAATTAAAAAAAAAAAAAAAAGGTTTATTTAGCTCACAGTTTGTAGATGTTTTAGGCCATATTTGCCTGGCTATCATATAGTAGCACATGGCAAAAAGTAACAGTTTATGACAACAAAAAACAGCAAAGAGCAAAGAAAAGTGCAACAGCTGTGGCTTTTAGCAAGCTTCTCTTCTCTCCTTATATTATAAGCAGAGTACCCTAGACTTGGGGCGGGGGTAAAACTCACACATTGTCCATGCCCTCCTCTTGCACAAGATGAAGATATTTGAAAAGTAAAAATCCTAGCTCCCTGCTGTGTCACATAAACTTCTCAATTTCTCAAGTTGACGCAATGTATCAACCACTACATATAGTAAAGGAAATTATTTCAACTTACCTAAGAACTTAATATTTTTTAAACTTTCATGCAATAGGGCTAGTAAAATCAGCTCTTTTTTGAGTAATAAAAGTATTTTTTTGAGTTGGGCGTGGTGGCACACACCTGTAAGCCCAGCACTTGCAAGGCTGAGGCAGGAGGATTGCTGAAAGTTTGAGCCTAGCCTGAGCTACATGGTGAGCTCAAGGCCAGCCTGTACCACATAGTGAAACCCTATCTTTAAAAAAAAAGAATTTTTTTTTCTTTCAAAATGTGAAATGACCAGAAAATCTTTTATTTGACTAGGTCTGCATTTTTTCCCCCTTGCTACAGGATTCCTGTTAATGGAGAAAGCCCAAAACATCGGTCATGGCACACTTTAACACCAATAGCTGATGATAAGCTTTTCCTATTTGGTGGACTAAGTGCAGATAATACTCCATTAAGTAAGTTGATTCAAATTCAGCATATAGTATAATTTTTATCTCATTTTTCCTTAATTTTATTTTCATACTTATAATGAAGTCTTACCATTCTTTTCTTACTTTTTCTCTTCATCCCCTACTGTATGATTCCATTAAGAATTAGGAAAACCAGGGTTCAATCCTGGGTCCTGCATGTTGTACTGCCCCTGCCTCTGGGATGTGCTGAGCAGGTGACTGAGTCTGAGCATGGTGGCACATGCCTATAATCTCAGCACTGGGGAGGCTAAAAACAGGAGGATTACCACAAATCTGATCTGCGTAGTGAGACCCTGTATCAAATACATAAAATGGAAAAAAAAGGAAAACCTCTGCCCTTCCACCCTTGGCCATCCATGTCCTTCAGTTTCCTAGCTAGAGAGACGAGAAAGGACACTGAACCTAGCTGAGTGCAAGCCCCTTTCCACTCTCGTATCTTGTGATTCTGCATTTTTCTGATTCATGATTCAGACCTATAAAGGAAAGCACTTCGCAGAATTTGTGACTCCTCTCACTGCTGGTCCCCACAGATCTGAGTTTTTTTTTTTTTTTTTAGGACAGGGTCTACAGTTTCCCTACTAGATGAGACTTGTAGTGATCCACCTGTTTACGGCCTCCCAAGAGCTGGGATTTCAGGTGCTCACCACCATGCCCAGCCTCAATTGCCATCTCTGCACTCCACGGGCCACTGGGATGGAATCCTGGCCCCTGTGCCTACTTGCAGGCATTTTAATCCGTGGAGCTATTTGGCCAGTTCAGGTCTGGGTTTTGTTCCATAATAAAATTTTGGCATCACAGTAGACGAATGACCAAGAAAAACCACTTATGGATTTGACATGTGAGATGTAGTTTATTATCTTAACCTGGAAGTTTTCTATGACTAGTGATATTTTATTGAAAACCTCATATACTATTCAATCTAGTCTGTATATACAGAATGTGAAACAACCATTTGCTATTCAACATAAGTTTATCAAACATCACTGTTACATTTGGCTATCTGCTGACCACCAAACCCCAGAAGCCTGCAGGAGAAATGGTAATTCCTGGTAAAGATGGTAGTTATTCTTAGAGATTATTGTACTCCAATTTGTGACTTTTTTTAATTAAAAGAGATTTAGAATCACACTAAAAATTAATGTCTGTTTTTCACTAGAGGTAATAAGAATAGCTTTACTGAATTCATACTTTCTATTTTTGATCATTGACCAATGGGAAACTGGATATACTATTCTTAGTGTTCTATTCACTTGCCTCTTTCACATATTCAGTTTAAGATTTGGTCATACGGATGCCGTGAAATTATTTTTAGTTTTGTTGACTGTGATAATAGCATTGTGGTTCTATAAAAAGTATCCATTTTTTAACTAACACATACTGAAATATGTGTGGGGAAAATGATAGGCAATCAAGGATTTCATCTCATAATTCAACAATAAGAATAACTATATTTAACAGAGCTGGACTATTCTTTGGCAGTCTAAGCACTTGCCTGGCAAGTGCAAGGTCCAGATTTCGATCCCCCATACCACATACCCTGCTGGCCTATGCCGAGCTGGCCTCGAATCTGGGCACGGTGGGCTTGTAATCTGAGCACTGGGGAGGCTCAGACAGGAGGATCACTAACAAGTCGGAACTGCATAGCAAAAAAAAAAAAAGACTACATTTTAAAAGTCTTTTTATTTTCTTTTTTTTGGGCTCAAACCTAGAGCCTTGGCTGTGCTAAGTATACTCTCTAACACTGACCTATAGTCCAGCCCCAAACCTTGTTATTTATTAAACCTAGGGTATGTGGGTCACTCTGCTCTTCCATGTATGTGTGAAAACATTTATGAAAAAATATGCACACACACATGAAAAGATCATATAATTTGTAACATAATGAATTTGGAAAACATTAACATTGTATCTCAAAGACCTAATCTTAATTTCTAACTTCCCTTAATATTGCAGGTGATGGTTGGATTCATAATATCATAACAAATTGTTGGAAACAACTCATACACTTACCTAAAACAAGACCCAGGTAAGTGTAGAACTTGACAAATAACCAAATAGTTAATAATTTTTAATGTATTAAGATATAGCACTGAACTTACAGTGATTGCCATTGAACTCATAAACTATCAGCAAGGATATCTTTCAGATGAGCTTTATGTCACCTAAATAATTTAATTATAAAAGTTAAGTAAATTGTAAATTTTATGTAATTGTTGGCAATTATCTATCTAGGTTTTAACCCATATTTGTATATTTTAAAATATTGTTATTTTAGGCAAATTCATAATCTTGCCTGATAAATTATGAAAAGGATAATTTAAAATAGCTCATAATGTTAAGCTTTCAAAATTATAATATTTAAATAAGTAGACAAGAATAGGATTGGTGGCCGGGTGTGGTGGCACACACCTATACTCCCAGAACTCAGTAGACTGAGTCAGGAGGATCACTAAATGTTCGAGGCCAAGCTGGGCAACAGAGTGAGTCCAAGGCCAGCCTGAACTGCATAGTGGAACCCTGTCTGAGAAAAACAAGAACAAGAAAAAATCTGATATATTCATTAATGTGAATTTTTTGAGAAAGAACTTCAGTTATTTGTGGTATATTATGGGGAAAAAATTACAGAAGCAATATACTATCATTAGATAAGCACAAAAGTATGGTAATTCTGATTTTTTTCAATTTGATTGAATATTATAATAAAAGTATCTTCATAGGAAATTCAGATTGAGCATATATAATCATGATAGTAACAGATACTTTTCGTGCCATATATTTTGGACATTTTTATTACAGATTAAATACTAGCATAAAGTCAATTATTGGTCTATAGTTCTGTTATTTAATAAATGATGAGTAACTTACTACAAAAAAGCTCTAAAAGTATATGCACTTTGGTGTGTCTATATCTTTTAATATGTACATTTGAAGTCTATCATAAAAAATTAAAATAACAGTATCATAATCATATATGTGATTCTTATATTTTTATGATAAAAGCTAATCAGAATATATTATTCTGGCTCTTTTGAAACTTACTTGCTTAAGAGTTTAGTATTAACATGGGAGGCCAGAGTGCTGGCTCGCCCAGGGCTGCTCTGCACTTGGACCTGAGAGTCACTTGGAGAAACTGAGCGTCCGTTTCCTTGGCTGTGAAAGGAGACATCTAGCCCTGACTGTGTCTTTCTTCCAGGTTCTGTGATGTTATGAATGTGTTATAGACCAAAATAGTAGTAAAAATATTTATTTTAAATTGCTCCTATTTTTATGTTTCAACGCTTAATGATTAGAGTGGCACAACTATTACCAATAATATGCTAGTTAGAACTAGAGCTGTGTAGAGATTTTTTTCAGCTGATGTGTCATGTAAATAATATGCTTTATTAGAATGTTTAGGTGATAAGTTTAGAGCAGCTGTGAGAGGACATAAACTATCAGTCTGTAGAGAGAACATCAGGTTGCGAGCTAGATGTCACCAAAATCAAGGCAGGAAAGGCTTCCCAGTGCTCTTCGGTGATGAAACCAGGCCAGAGTTTCAGGCAGATAAAGCAGAGACAGATCTCTCTTCAGGTATCAGGTGAGGAGGAGGACAGGTGGGGTAAAGCTGAGTGTGAGGGAATGTAAATGTTTGTGTATGTACTCATTTTTTAATGAAAGTGACAATTTACTTAACATTTAGATGCATTTCATGCAAAAATGTCCAAGTTACAGTTTGAAATGTAAGCTGCCCAGTTCTCCTCTTAGAAAGCTAAGGTGGGGTTTCTTAGTTTCAGCACTGTTGGCATTTTAAACCAGATCTCTTCGTAGCGCTGTCCTGGCCTCACCCTTGACCGTTCCTCTCCAGGTGTGTGTAGTACTGCTCCTCTTTTCACACATGACAGCTGAAAAGGCTCGTTGGTACTGCCACACACCTCTGTAGAGGACAGCCACTGCTGGCCGAGAAGCACAGCTCCACAGCGCCATTCTGTCTTCTCCAGGCTTCCCCTGAGTGCACTGTGCCCAGCTGCAGACCATCTCCAAGCCATTATCAGGCTGCTTTTGTAACATCGGAGGGCGAAGACCCTTCCTGTGAGTCTGAGAAAGGTGTCAGCAAAGGCCAGCATACAGACTAAATTCTGCTGGATGCCATGAGGGGTGCCAAGACCACCTATGGTTTTCTCTCCCCAAAATTAATCTGTCCCGTCCCGTGTATGGGGACATTCACTCCAGTCAGTCTCCCTGATGGGTTCCCCCTGGATTGTGTATCAGTACCATTTTCCATTCTGACGCACAATTTGGAGAACTGGGCAGAGCATTTCCAGACAGTGTGTCTAGTGACTCAGCACTGTCCTGGGTCACAGGTGCCTTTGTCACTGAAGGCGTACATGGTAGTTTGACAAAAGTATTTGGTTTAACAAATTATGTATACTTAAATGCTTAAAATAACTGTTTGCATTTATGGAATTTAAGTAAGAGAGATTAACATACTAAAACTGTTTTGTGGTAATATAAGTGATAATCTATAATTGTTTGGGGTGTCTGCTACTTCAGCAATTTGGTTTATTAAGAAAAGTAATTGCAAGCCAGGCATGGTAGCCCCACACTTGCAATCCTGGCATCGGGGAGGCTCAGGCAGGGGGAGTGCAAGTATAAGACCAACCTGGGCAATTTAACAACTTACCAAAACCCTGTCTCAAAATAAAACATAAATAAGGGGTAAGGATGTAGCTCTGTCAAAGGCCTTTGGCTCAGTCCCCAGTACCAGAAAGAAAAGTGTTCCCAAGAAAAAAATAAGCAACTTTGAGTAAGATTAGTAACTTCATAAAAGTCCTTAGTTTATTCAATAAAATTGGGACATTTGTACTTTTTTTCAGGCAGTTAGAGCCTCTGGAGATAACGAACTTTATAAAACTATAAAATTATTTTTGACTAAAATAAATACAGGATGGATATGAGCTATCAGACTATTGCCAAAAATTAATTGATCTTTATAATTAATATTTTTAATCACTGAATGAATTATATTCTGTGTTCAATTTTGCAAACCAGGTTTTTGAGCACCTACTGGATACAGAATACCATATTGGGCATATTTAAACCAAATTAGAATACCCAAGATACAGTGGTGTGCTGGGATGCTTTTAGAACCACTCCAGGGGTGGATAGGAGATCAATTCAGTCTTCTTTGATTGCTGAGCTGTAAGTCCTCCCACCATGGCTGACTCACAGTGTCACTGAACCTGTGATGGGGCACAGCTGGCCTCGCTTAGCCTGTGAGCTGGTCCCAGCATGCCACAATGGAAAGTTTTGACCTTGTGTACTTGATAGATTCTTTCTAGAGTCACACAGAATAGATAATTAACAGTAGACAGAGCAGTTAATCTTCAAATGTAAGTCAGGAGGGTATAAAATGAGCTTAGCAGGCCCGGCCAGATAGCTCAGTGGATTGAAGTGCCTGCTTAGGCAGAAGCAGGGACTGAGGTTCGATCCCTGGTGTGCTGTGCCAGCCCAGCCCCCTGGGGCACGCTGAGACAGCAGTTGAGACTGGGCCTGGTGGCACGTGCCTGTAATCCCAGCACTTGGAAGGCTGAAAACAGGATGATCACTATGAGTACAATCTGTGTAGTGAGACCCTGTACTAAAATACATTAAAAAATAAAATAAAAATACAATGAAATTAGCATAGATTGCAACACTTATGGGGGTTGGGGGTTGGGGGTTGGGGTGTGGTGGGGGGGTGTTGTGATTGTATTATTTTAGTGTTTTTGTTTTTGAGACAAGGTCACTATATAGCCCAGGCTGGCCTTAAACAGGCAGCAAATCCTGCTGTCTCATTTTGCAGTACCAGGGATTGAAGTTAGGACCTTGTGCTTGCCAGGCA